TTTATTTCTTTTTTCCTGTGGAACCAGGGATTGAACTCAGGCCCTTGCACTTGCCAGGCAAGTGCTTATTTTACTGAGCTATCTCTTCTTCTGTTTCTACTCACTCTACAGAGCCAGTTTCTCTCCTACTGTTCATTTTTGCTCTCTTGAATAAACTTTGTCACAGCCTTTGGCTCTTTTTGTTCAGTTCCTTGTTCCACATGAGAAGAACTTGTGCTGCATTTAGCGTTTATCCTCAGCCTCTGCACTAACTGGTCAGATAGTCAGCAGTAGTCACTAGATTAGAGCTGGCCGTAGTTGTTTCTCTTACCATGGCTATTCTGTCCATGAGCCCACTGAAGAAGCACTGAGGTGACCCATGGCCTTGCCCAGCTCACTCCATTGGGTGAGTCATCCTGGCCACCTGATTGTTCCACACCTTCTTTGTGTTGGATATTCTTGGGTGGCATTGATAAGAGACACAAAGATTCACACATTCTGTTGCCTCTTCCCTTTGGCCCACTTACATGCTTCTTCTCTAGACATTTCTGTCTTTAGTTTTCTTTTCTCCTCTGACCATCCAGTCAAGTCATGTGCCACTGCCCAGGTTGAACTGCCTGCCTGCCTGCCTGCCTATCTGTCTGTCTGTCTGTCTGTCTGTCTGTCTGCATCTTTCTATCTATCTATCTATTATCTGTCTAGGGCCACATCTCTTCACAAATACTGATGATCTGGATTTATTGACACTGTCTGTTAGCATCACTTCAATGCTTTTCACTCACTGAAGAGTGGGGTTATAGTGTGACAATGTGAGAAACTGAGGCCCTCTCTTTTCTCCCAAAAGATTTAAACAGCATTTCCTCCATTTAGACTACAGTCCACCCTAGGTGGTTGCACCCCTCACACTGAAATTACAGAAATTCTTAAATTTTGGTAACATAGTGGCAGACCAAACATAGCTTATCAAGAGCCAAGGATTTTCTGTTCCACACACCCTCTACCTTCTCAGTCCTCCTCACCCTCAGCAATTATTCAGGTCCTCCCCTGACACCACTTAAACTAGCCAAATGCAATAGACTATAAGCCTTTAGATTCAGCTGAGTTTAAAGGATAGCAGCTTCCCCTGCGTTAGGACTTAACCCCTTTCCTGCTGCTCAGCTGCTCAGCAGCTGCCTCGTGTAAGTGCACTTGAGCCCATCTGCAGAAGTAAATTTTAAACTTTGCTTTGTTAGTTTCTGCCAGAGTGCATTCTTTTTTGGAACCAGGGATTGAACTCAGGCCCTTGCGCTTGCCAGGGAAGCACTTACTCCACTGAACCATCTCCCTGGCCCCTAGAAAGTGCACTCTTTCTGGCACTGGCAATTTGAGTATGGGGGCTTATTTCTATTAGTAGCGGTTCATGTAAAGACCAATAACTAATCCATATAACTGACCTATTCTACACCAAGGTTGGGGTTTTCTTCTTCCTCATCACAAATATGAGCTAAAGGAGAGGCATGGGTGCAACAAAGGTAATTGATGTGTCTGTGTTTCTTGTTTGAGAACATAAGTGGGCTTTCTGGATTTGCTTTAGTCTGATCCAGAATGCACTATTTGCATAACACAGTGAATTGTTCATGTATTTACCTGGTCTATAAATCAGGACATCTGTAGAAGTCTATAGCAATTAGAAGAAACATCATTTATTCCCATACTTAGGATTCTTTGTTTTATAAAAGACATCTTTTTATTTTATTTATTTATTTGCTTCTCTTTAAGTACTGCCCTAACAGCTTCTCTGAGTCACCTGAACTTTAGATTTTCTTCAGTGCAGCAACAACCAACACACTTGCCCGTCTTTAAGTGCTAGTGATGTTGCATAAGCCCTTCCACCTCCATTGCACCCTAGTCTCTCAGAGGGGAGGCCTTAATCATGGTGATGCTGTGGCATAAACATCATCACTGTTGCACTTCCAGTGAGACCCTTGTCATTGGGTTGTGTAGGGAGTAATTGCAGAGAATCCCAAGCTGATGCTATACCTCAGAGTACCAGTGGTGATACCAGCTGACTCCCTTTGAGGTCCCCCAGAAGGAGGCCCTAAGGAAGGATTTGTGGTCAAGCTAGTTTAATTACAAGGTGAATCCAGAAAACACCAGTCATGCAATGGGAAGTTAGAAAGGGAAGAAAAGGAAGTGAACAAGGAGTATACTATTAAATACTTTGCTGCAAAGGGGAAATGGGAGGCAGGGCCAGCATGGCAGGGGCTCTAACCCCTGGCCCCTGTGTCTGCCGCTTTAATCCACTGAGCTCAACATCTTCTATGCATGTTCCTGAGTCCAACTTGTCCCCCTTATAAAGGACAATGGTTGTGTTGGATCAGGATCTACACTTATGATTTCATTTTAACTTGATTACTTTTGTAAATATGCCCTTTCCAATCAATCAGGGGAGTTGACACAATTCAACTCATAGCTGAATTTATGTGCCAACTTCCATGTGGCACTGGTGGATTGCTGCAGGCTGCCATGCATGTGGACAAATGGAGCTCAGACACAGGAGATGCTGAGTTTTGGAATATGGGATGGTACACTCAGAAATCTAAGTGCCATAGTGTATGAATGGGCCATTAGCAGTATCTGGTGTTTTGGTAATACACCAGACTATTTCTGTAACTCATTTAACCTTTTTTGCTTTTTTAAAGTAGGGACAATTAGGAGAGGGAAAATAACAGAAAAAAGATCAAATCCTGTTTTGCTGCCTGTGAGAACAAAGGTCTGTTAAAGAGAGACTGCACATTTTTTTTGATGTTTGACTGTTCAGTATGTGTCTTAATTACTCTTCTCTCATTGCTGGGAAAAATACCTGACACCAAAAGTGAAGGAAGGAAAGGTTTATTTAGGTCACAGTTAATGGAAGCTTCAGTCCATACTTGGCTGGCTCCAAGGCAGAGTGGCACGTGGCAGAGAGCAACCTTTCATGGCAGTGGAGAGCAGAGAGCAAAAGAGCAGGAGCAGCAGCAACAACAATGGCAATAGAGAGGAAGTCTTTCTCTCTTATGTTACATTCAGGCTAACCGCCTCAGGCTGGGTATAGCACTCACACCCATAATCCCAGCCTTGGATCACCCATAATCCCAATTTACCCATGAGTAAATTGCAAACTCTAGAAATCCGCCCCATGATTGCATGAGGCTTTGGGGGGACACCTAGAGACGAACCATAACAGTAAGCTTTCTCATTTGAAGTAACAAGATTTCTTCTCAGTTTTACAAAAATATGTGTTGTAAAAAAATGTGTTGTAATCAAGAGTGATGAAATGATGTTTCCTGGGCTGGAGAGATGGCTCAGTGGTCTAAAGCACCTACTTAGAACAAGCTTAGCAAAAGCATCAGGGACCGCGGTTCAATCCCCCAGCACC